AGCTGAGTGCGAGGAGCCATGGCTAAAAACACAGTATCCCCCCACTGTAACTTCCAGAACTTTGTGTCCTTTTCAACTGAGTGTGTCTCTTGTAAAAAAAACACAATTAGACTTTTGCTCCTTGCAAAACAGAAAAATTGCTTTACGTTTTACATTATTTCTTAACCCCCTTGTATTTAAAGAAATAAAAGATAACATAGAATGCTTCTGAACACTTAGTTTTTTTGTTTTTTTTTCTTTTCCTTTTTTTTAAGAGAAGTAATTTGGCGCAGGAACAACCAGCTTTATCCTGAACATATATTTCAAGAACATACTTGTGCAATAACCCTTTATTAAGAAATAAGCTATTTTTGCAACCTTTTAACAATCACATGTCTTTGAGGTAGAGTAGATTAGAATCCCACCTATTAATTCAGTTTGGATCCACTCTCTTGTTGTCAATAGTTGAGCACTTGTTTCTTGTCAACTCTGGATGTTAATTAGGTTTCTCGTGTTTGTTTGTTTTTTGTTTTTTAACGACTGTTATACTTGTCTTACAGGAGCTTCTGAAGATGTTCTGTCTTGCTTCTCCATCATCACTCTCCAGCTCCTCAGACCAGCCACTCCAGAACCTTTCCAGATCCAGGATCAGAGCACTTTAATAAAAGTTTGAAACATGTCTGCTTGTTGTTCTCCTATAGAAGCCTTAAACTAGAATTTGCTAATGAGCTTTCTTGGCTAAAATATGCTCTTAAATGTTTTTATTTACATAATCAAGAAACACGTTTTTCATTGCTGCTTCACCAAGACATGACTCTGAAAATGTCCTCATGATCCTGAAACGCTGGTTAAAACATTTACTTTTAACCTCTTATAAAACAAACGTGTCTGTTGATGATTATGCCCACTACAATACTGAAGCACCTGCATACTTGCTACCGATTTGCTAACTTTCTGTAATATTTTGATATTTAAGTTGAAAACATGAAATGCTGTAACACAAATTCCAAATGTTCTAGTTGAGCACTTGTTTCTAATCAACTAATCATTATTTCTGTGATTAGTTAGCTTTTTCCTTTTCTATAAACACATGGAAAAATTACAATTATCTTACTGAAAAATGGTTTAACAGTGTTGCACATGTATAATAATCTGCACTGGTTTTCACAGTTATGGCATTCTTCAAACTATAATAATAAAATTAAGTGAAAAGTTATTTACAATTGATTACTTCAAGTTCCTACTATTTACATTTTATGCATCGATACTGTAAATGGCTGTTTACTAAGGCATACAAAGTCAGTGCCTGTACTTTTATTGGATTGGCTTAGTGTCTGGCTGCAGAAGCAGAACAGATCGACTGAAGCAACTGTCTGTTTACAAATTTATAATTAGATATAGATTTAGGAAGACATCGAATGAATGCAACATATCAGCTGGAGTTGTTCCTTCTGTAAGAATCTCTGGATGTTAATTAGGTTTCTCGTGTTTGCAACCTTATGACACAAAGTAGCTCAGACTGTCAGGTCTTTGAAGTGATGCTTTTGGGCCTGGTCCCTGGTGGTTTCCAGACATTATTTAGTTTACAGATCTTTAGCTGCACATGGAATGTTCTCATACGGGTTCTTGCCTAGTAAGCAGAGGGTTGCCTCCTGTAAAAATGGAGATGATCAGCCTCATTGTTGTCTTTCAGCACACTCCGTAAAGTCCTAAATTTAAAAAATGTGGTTTGTGGGAGAGGCTCATCTACTTTCTAAGGCTAACACTTTTAAACTCCTCTTAAACACACACTCAACTTGTTAATAACTAAAAGGATTGTTCAATACCTGCTCAAATAAACAAGGCAATTCTACAGACTCGTGGATTTGTAAGTAGCATTAATGAAGAATACAGGATCATATAGAACAGAAGATTTACAAGCAAACTACCTGTGTACAGGCACTGACTTTGTATGCCTTAGTAAACAGCCATTTACAGTATTGATGCATAAAATGTAAATAGTAGGAACTTGAAGTAATCAATTGTAAATAACTTTTCACTTAATTTTATTATTATAGTTTGAAGAATGCCATAACTGTGAAAACCAGTGCAGATTATTATACATGTGCAACACTGTTAAACTATTTTTCAGTAAGATAATTGTAATTTTTCCATGTGTTTATTGAAAAGGAAAAAGCTGACTAATCACAGAAATAATTAGTTGATTAGAAACAAGTGCTCAACTAGAACATTTGGAATTTGTGTTACAGCATTTCATGTTTTCAACTTAAATATCAAAATATTACAGAAAGTTAGCAAATCGGTAGCAAGTATGCAGGTGCTTCAGTATTGTAGTGGGCATAATCATCAACAGACACGTTTGTTTTATAAGAGGTTAACAGTAATTTGTTTTAACCAGCGTTTCAGGATCATGAGGACATTTTCAGAGTCATGTCTTGGTGAAGCAGCAATGAAAAACGTGTTTCTTGATTATGTAAATAAAAACATTTAAGAGCATATTTTAGCCAAGAAAGCTCATTAGCAAATTCTAGTTTAAGGCTTCTATAGGAGAACAACAAGCAGACATGTTTCAAACTTTTATTAAAGTGCTCTGATCCTGGATCTGGAAAGGTTCTGGAGTGGCTGGTCTGAGGAGCTGGAGAGTGATGATGGAGAAGCAAGACAGAACATCTTCAGAAGCTCCTGTAAGACAAGTATAACAGTCGTTAAAAAACAAACAAAAAAAAAAAACAATAGTGTGGCAAGGTGGATAAACGAGGGTCCGGGCGGGATTCGATTCCCAGACTCCCGGGTGAGAGTCATACGCTCTAACCAGTTAGCCAAATGGACATCGCCTTGGCCAAGTAGCCAGGGCGCAAGATCAATCGGGACATGGTGACAGCACACTCACACTGTCACAATAGTAAATACTGAAAGTGGATGAACTTAAGAAGAAGGGAGTTTTGGACAGAAAGAGCACTGATGTTCCAGCTGGACTCACGAGCCACGAGGACAGACTGGTACGGGGCAGCCACACTTTTAAGTAATTGTAGCAGTACGAAATACCTGCTCCAAGTTTATTGGTTTAGAACAGTACGCCCTCCATACATAGGAGGGCGCTCCGGCTATAAAAGGGGAGCTCCTCCGGCAAGGAAGTAATATCAGGAAACAGCTGGTTTTAAGTATACCACTACGCGTTACCAGCCCGTGTCCTTTGGCTGCGTTTTTGGGGTGATCGGCTCTGCTCCAACTGTGGTATGTACCTGGATGGCTACTCTGTTTACAGTAGAGTAACCCCGGGTTTCCACGGGAGCCGTCAGCAGCACGTTACTGCAGCAGCACGTCTAGCTGCTGCAGTAACGTGCTGCTGACGGTTCCTGTGGAAAGCCGGGGTAACCCCGGCTTTCCACAGGAACCGTCAGCAGCACGTTACTGCAGCAGCACGTCATAGCTGCTGATAGGAACGGCTGTGGTCAACAGAACCTTTTCCACTGGAGCCGTCGGCAGCACGAGTCGGCCGCGTCTCAGGAGCAGCATGTCGCGGCCTTTACGCGCCGGTTCTATTTCCTACGGGCGACGCCTCTGAAACGGGTCAAGTTCGACATTTTTGGGGAAGGAAAGACAGGAAATCGGACGCGGAAATGGAGAGAAGCTCCCGAGTTTTTCAGAATAAAGAACGTACTGCTTTCCGGTTGCTTTACGTTAAAAAAAAGTTACTAACTGTGCGGCCCCGTGAGAAGTTATCATCTAGCTAGCGGTCTCCTTTGTTTTTCAGGTCCGTATTGGCGATTATAAAACGGACAGAACATAAAACACAAACCATGTTGTAGTTTTCTCCTGCTTGTTGTTGTGTTTACTGACGAAGTCACTCGTGTGACTTCGTGCTCGGTCGGTGACAGCTGCTCCCCTGCTGCTTCGCGTCTCGTGGGAAGGGCCAAGCAGCAGCTTACACGAGCAAGACGTGCTGCTGCAGTAACGTGCTGCTGACGGCTCCTGTGGAAACCCGGGGTTACTGTGTCTCAAACTGTGTTGTGCACTCTGCAGCTTGGGCAATTAATCAGTGTTGGGTGTGACATCATCGCTTGCCTTTGCTATACAAAACATTCGTAAACGGTACGTACCTTCTGCAGGTAGATAACCTATGAGTCAAACAATCTTAACATCAGCTCTTTGTAAAACCAGGGAAAGATTGAATCCCCGTTGCTGCTGGGCAGGGAGTTCCCTTCTACTCAGGGGTCATCGGTGAGAGGACCGGTAGGTGTGTGCTGCGCCGTCTCCACACTTGGTCAGTTGTTAGTTTGTTAACTTCTACCTCTTCCTCGTCCTTTTAGATTTCTCCGTGGTCCAGCGGGAGGTGCCGCTGTTTTGTTTCGTTTCCTTTTTCTACATTTCAAATCAGCTGTTTGAAGGAAGTTCCCTGGCTCGTGGCTGGAGTCCAGAAGGAAGAACAGCTGATTTATATTGTACACATTTTATACCGTTTTTAATCTTTTTTTTTTCTTTGTGCAGGCTGAGGCAGGAGGTGTGGTGTGTGGCCTCGGAGGTGGTGGTCCCGTGTGCGTGTGGTGGTGCTGGTTTTCTCACGTTGGTATGAATGTTCACTGCCAGGGGTGAATCCTTTATACGTTCATTATTTTTCTTGTGTTGGGGCTTCTCTGCCCCACGTTACCTGCCTCCATCACTAGCCTCAGTCCTGCTTGTTAACCTTTTTATTTATTTAAATTTGTAGTTGTATTGTGTTAACTCTCATTTTTTGGGACTTCATGAATTAATTTCAGTGAGTTAAATTAATTTGTTTCTCCATACATTTCATTGGTTCAGTTTCTGTTGGGGCATTAATTTTAGTATTCTTTTATGGTATTTTACATGGCCAGTTTTTAAAATGTCTTTTAAACTGTCTCTTCTATAAAATAAAACATTCATTGTAACTTCTGAAACCACGTCTACTGTCAAGTGAAATGAATCTATATGCTTTAATTCCTTGGGTGAAATTCCCAAGGTGGCGTTAATAAAATTACACTCAAGCAGGTACAATTGCCATCCTTGGCGTCAACAGGTCATAGACGCCACCCGTATTGCCACATAATCATCAGGTCTGACTGAAACAGCGTTTCTGCCTTTTACAGGTAGACAGAAAAAATAATAACGTTGACACATTGTTGATAATATTACTACATTTCAAGGCTTTTTCATTACAGTGAAATGAGTTGAAACAGAGCCGAGTTGTATTAGAAAACAGCAATACGCACAGCCCGACAGCCCGGTGAATCTGGGATGAATTAGTGCTGCCTCAACCTCCTCGTCTTTCATTGGGTCACTGGAGTTTAAATTAAGTGGATGAGAAACCCATGGGGAGGGCTCTGCATAAATGAGAGTAAAGTTGAATTTTAAACGCGTTAAAACTGTCACAAAGTGGCGTTAAAAGCGGCGTTTTATGTCACAGAACGGCGAAATAAGCGGCGTTCAATGTCCGTACCAAACGCCGTATTTTACGCCACCCACACAACGCGTCTGGGATTAGGTGACGTAAAAAACGGCGTTCAATGTCCGGAAAAAACGTCGTATTTTACGGGCGTTCTACGGGACCGTTCAGAATGGCGTCAATTACGGCGTTCTGGCAGAGTTTTCGCCGTATTTTACGACGTCTTGGCACATCAAATGGCGTTTTTTTCGCCATTTCTTAACTAGACGGGTTGGGAAAGTGGCGTATTGTGGCGGTTTTGGCTTGCCATAAGAAATTGCCAAGACAGTAGCGCATGCGCAAGAGCGTTATGTCGCCGGTCCCTGCGAGCTAGTTGTAAACAGAGCAGCATGGGTAGAAAGAACGCACGCTAAAACTTGGGTCCACTTCACTAAATGTGATGGGTAACTGGATGAAACCAGCGACAGACAATGATCTAAGTGAGACATCCTCATTTTAATCTGCTCCGGTAGGTAAATAAAATGTTTAAGATAACGTTACCTTGATATGTTAGCCTTCGTTTCGCTAATGGTGCGTTCGCTTTCTCCTCGGAACTCCCATTTTCCGACTAGATGAACATGAACGCGCTCTAAAGTTTGGCTTTACTTTACTAAATGCGACGGGTGATTGGGTGAAGGTAAAACCAGTGACAACAATCTAAGTGTGAGGCATCATCGTTTTAATCTGCTCCAGCAGCTAAATAAACTGTTAAAGATAACGTTAGCTTGATATGTTAGCTTCCATTGCCACCGTTATCAGCTAATGGTGCGTTCGCTTTCTCCTCGGATATTCTAACTTCCCAGTAGGAAAAATCAAAAGAAAAAGGACGGTGAAAGGAATGAAGATACACAGTAAATTTAGTTCACAGTAAAGATGTTTGCTTCAGTTTAATTATCAGCTTATAAAACTACAAGGACGATGCTAAAATACAAACAGTTGTATGTTATTTATCGTGATATTTATCAAATATGGTTATATATTGAGAAAAATATATATTTAATTATAAAAGAGAATTAAAATAATAAACACTCAAAAGTATCAAATTGGTACCGTTAAGTACCGGTATCGACTCGTAGGTACCGGGAATTAGTACCGGTGTTCTGTCCAGTACACAACACCGGATCGATTCAAATGTCAAAGGTACCCATCCCTAGGCAGTACTCTCATCCTCCACTGGCTGGTTTCCAGACCCTCTTTTCTTCTTCAGGTTAGGGTTTTTAGTTGGTGTGTGGAACCTGTTGATTTTTCTCCTCTTTTGAGATATCTTGAATTGCTTCCATTTCCTCTATTTCATCATCGTCGCAAGCCTCCCTTAGAGCTGCTGAGCTGTAGTCGTGTTCCATCATTGCTTCCAAATAGGTCTTAAACTGGCGAATATTCGATGACGAAACTCTTTAAAAGTGTAGGTTTCGGGTTCCTTGCCAAATTTAAGGTTGAAACTACTGGGTTAAGCACAAACTACTTTAAGTAATCAGGATAAAAAAATGTATCTTTTTACACTGCCTGCATGAAGACGCTGCTCATTCCGCCATCTTGGGTCCTCTCTCTTGGTTGAACATACAGATACAGATAGTGGTGTACTCCTCATCCCTAGTGACAACACGAGTGCTCACCTGGCTGTAGCACACAGAGCGTTGGACATGTCGGTCGTGAGGGCTGTTCTGTGGAGTGTTCTGCTGTGTAGTGAGTAATAATGTTTATTAATATTTGTAAAGGAGGGTTAGGTTATTGGTTAAAGATAGCTCTTTCCAGGTGAGGTGGCTATGGTGTATCTGTTAGAATACAGGTAGAGGCTAGATGCATCCTTTGCTGTAGATCCAAATCTTTAATCTTGGTTGATGGTAATCATTAACTAACCCTAGACTTAACCGGTGGTCCAGAAGAAGGTGGGCGTGGCTCCCTGAGATTGCGGGTTTGCATGTGCGCCCAACCAACACAAGCAGACAGACAGCAGTGGGGTGGCGATGTATTTTCTTTATCTGCGCATGTGTTGCATTTCAGAACAACCCCACCAAAATAATAAAAATCGGATTTAAGTGTGAACCTGGTGTGAACATAGCCTAATTTAGCTTCAAGTGGAATTTTAGCTAAGGACAACTCACACCTAACGTGTTTAAGTCCAACTGGAGGTGCAGCATCATTTAATTACCTCACATTTGATTATTATGATAATAAGGGTCATTAATGGAACAATATAACAGTCTGCTTTTGTTTTATCAGTTATTTGGGCATTTAGATATGTTTATATAAAGAATCACAATGGAATCAGTTTAGACACTTGATTAATAAATACAAATGTTATTTTGTTTTGTAAATTACTTGTAATATGTTGTTTTGTAACTTGTATCCCCAGCATTACCTCTCCAGCTGTGTGAGGCTGTTAACCTCAAATGTACCGCCACTCGCAGAGGAAACCTGATGATTTACAGCATAGACCACCAGGGTTTCCCTCCAGATGTCAACCTGTCTAGCTGTTATTTCTCGTGGAGCAATGACAGTGTAAGATGAGCATCACCACAACAACTTTGCCTTCTGTTTTCTTTTATTTTAAAATCTATTTTACCAGCACACTTATATTTTTTAGGTTTTAGCTCATAAAATATACCCTTTTGTTTCGGTTTCATTTATTTTAAAAGTCTTCCAGGAATGTCATACCTTTAATTTTCTTATAGCTGATCACGCCAAACAATTTTTTCTGTTTTATTTTAGACCGTTCTTGCCAGTCATCAGGACAAACTCCCATCGGTGAAGACAAAAAGCCTAAAAAATCTAGAGACTACGGAATGCTTCACGAACGTTGTTCACAAATCCCATTGTGCATCAAAGGTGATCATCTTTACATTTCTTTGAAAAAAATAAGCACAGTACATGTCACAACCTAGATGCATAATTTACTTAATGATGTAACAATCAAAAAATATAATGTCAACACTGTTATTTTCCTTCAAACACTAGTCATGTTAGCATATGGGACTTTAGGTGCAATTCTCAGAGAACATTGTATAATGGATCACAGGATCTTTCATGGATGTAAATTCAAAGAGTCGGAGTACCCGACCCGGAGGGTTACCGGGGTCCCACCCTGGAGCCAGGCCTGGGGTTGGGGCCCGTGAGCGAGCGCCTGGTGGCCGGGCTTTCGCCCATGGGGCCCGGCCGGGACCAGCCCGAACCGGATACATGGGCTCATCCAACTGTGGATCCACCACCCGCAGCAGGAACGTGAAGGGTCTGGTGCAATGTGGATCGGGTGGCAGACCAAGGCGGGAGCCTTGGCGGTCCGATCCCCGGACAAGAAAACTGGTTTTTGGGACATGGAACGTCACCTCGCTGGCGGGGGAGGAGCAGGAGCTTGTGGCAGAGGTTGAGCGGTACCGGCTAGATATAGTCGGACTCACCTCGACACATAGCATTGGCTCTGGAACCCAAGTCCTTGAGAGGGGTTGGACACTCTCCTTTGCTGGAGTTGCTCCGGGTGAGAGGCGGAGGGCTGGGGTTGGCTTTTTGTTAGCCCCAAGACTCTCTGCCTGTGTGTTGGGATTTACCCCGGGGGACGAGAGGGTAGCTTCCCTGTGCCTTCGGGTCGGGGAACGGGTCCTGACTGTTGTTTGTGCTTATGGGCCAAATGTCAGTTCAGAGGACCCACCCTTTTTGGAGTCCCTGGGACGAGTGCTAGATAGTGCTCCATCAGGGGACTCCATTGTCCTGCTGGGGGACTTCAATGCTCACGTGGGCAATGACAGCTTGACCTGGAGGGGTGTGATTGGGAGGAATGGCCCGCCTGATCTGAACTCGAGTGGTGTTTCGTTATTGGACTTCTGTGCAAGCCGCAGTTTGGCCATAACGAACACCATGTTCGAACATAAGGATGCCCATCGGTACACTTGGTACCAGGGCAGCCTAGGTCGCTGGTCGATGATAGACTTTGTAGTCGTATCATCTGACCTGCGGCCGTATGTTTTGGACACCTGAGTGAAGAGAGGAGCGGAGCTGTCAACTGATCACCACCTGGTGGTGAGTTGGATCAGATGCCGCGTAGACCTGGCAGACCCAAACGCATAGTGAGGGTCTGCTGGGAATGCCTGGCAGAAGAACCTGTTAAGACAGTCTTCAACTCCCACCTCCGGCAGAGCTTTGACTGCATCCCGAGTGCAGTGGGGGACATTGACTCAGAGTGGGCCTTGTTCCACTCTGCGATTGTTGAGGCGGCTGTTGCTAGCTGTGGTCGCAAGGTGGCCGGTGCCAATCGTGGTGGCAACCCCCGTACCCGCTGGTGGACACCAGAGGTTCGGGGAGCCGTCAGGCTGAAAAAGGAGGCCAACAGGGAGTGGCTGGTGTGTGGGTCTCCGGAGGCAGCAGACAGGTACCAGATAGCCAAGCGGGGTGCAGCAGTGGCAGTTGCCGAGGCAAAATCTCGGGTGTGGGAGGAGTTTGGTGAGGCCATGGAGAACGACTATCGATCGGCTCCAAAGAGGTTCTGGCAAACTGTCCGGCGCCTCAGGAGAGGAAGGCAGCAACTCGCTCACACTGTTTACAGTGGGGATGGGGAGCTGCTGACGTCAACTGGGGCTATAGTCGGACGGTGGAAGGAATACTTTGAGGAGCTCCTCAATCTCACCTATGTGCATTCCGAAGAGGAACCAGAGCCGGGGGACCTGGGGATGGACTGTCCAATCTCGGGGGCAGAAGTTGCTGAGGTAGTCAAACAACTACACAGCGGCGGAGCCCCGGGGGCGGATGAGGTTTGTCCTGGGTATCTCAAGGCTATGGATGTTGTAGGGCTGTCATGGTTGACACGTCTCTGCAACATTGCGTGGTCATCAGGGGCAGTTCCTGTGGAGTGGCAGACCGGGGTGGTGGTCCCCATCTTTAAGAAGGGTGACCTGAGGGTGTGTTCCAACTATAGGGGGATCACACTCCTCTGCCTCCCTGGAAAGGTCTACTCAAAGGTACTGGAGAGGAGGGTCCGATCGATAGTTGAATCTCAGATTGAGGAGGAGCAATGTGGTTTTCGTCCTGGCCGTGGAACTGTGGACCAGCTCTATAACCCTTGCAAGGGTGATGGAGGGGGCATGGAAGTTGTGTTTTATGGATTTGGAGAAGGCTTATGACCGTGTCCCCAGGGGCACCCAGTGGGGGACGCTCCAGGAGTATGGGGTGGGTGGCTTTCTGTTAAGGGCCATTCAGTCCCTATACCAGAGGAGCGTGAGTTTGGTCTGCATAGCTGGTAGTAAGTCGGACCTGTTCCCGGTGAGGGTTGGACTCTGCCAGGGCTGCCCTTTGTCACCGGTTCTGTTAATTATCTTTATGGACAGAATTTCTAGGCGCAGCCGTGGTGTGGAGTGTGTCGAGTTTGGTGGCAGGAGAATCTCGTCTCTGCTTTTTGCGGATGATGTGGTCTTCCTTGCTTCATCCAGCTCTGACCTTCAGCTCTTGCTGGGTAGGTTCGCGGCCGAGTGTGAAGCGGCTGGGATGAGGATCAGCACCTCCAAATCTGAGACCATGGTTCTCGACCGGAAAAGGGTGGCTTTCCAACTCCGGGTCGGGAGAGAGGTCCTACCTCAAGTGGAGGAGTTTAAGTATCACGAGTGAGGGTAGGAGGGATCGGGAGATCGACAGGCGGATTGGTTCGGCGTCTGCAGTGATGCGGACGCTAAGCCGATCTGTCGTGGTGAAGAGGGAGCTGAGCCAGAAAGCCAGGCTCTCGATTTACCAGTGGATCTACGTCCCAATCCTCACCTATGGTCACGAGCTTTGGGTAATGACCAAAAGAACGAGATCGCGGATACAAGCGGCCGAAATGAGTTTCATCCGTAGGGTGACCAGGCTCAGCCTTAGAGATAGGGTGAGGAGTTTGGACATTCGGGAGGGACTCGGAGTAGAACCGCTGCTCCTCCGGATCGAAAGGAGCCAGTTGAGGTGGTTTGGGCATCTGGTCAGGATGCCTCCTGGACGCCTCCCCGGGGAGGTTTTTCGGGCATGTCCTGCCGGCAGGAGGCCCCCGGGTCGACCCAGGACACGTTGGAGAGGTTACATCTCCAATCTGGTCCGGGAACGCCTTGGGGTCCTGCCGGAGGAGCTGGTGAAGGTGGCCGGGGAGAGGACAGTCTGGAGCTCCCTAGTTGGGATGTTGCCCCCGCGACCCGGACCCGGATAAGCGGAGGAAGACGACAATGACATTATATAATGGATATTCCATAATAATTATTATTATTAATATTAATATTATTATTATTATTTCTACCTTAATCTTCTGATCACAGTCACATCTGTTATGTGTTTTTCACAGACAACTGGATTTCTGACAAATTTCCAGGCGAAATGCAACGGTGAGTATTTTTGTCTGTTTCATTTCCTTTGAGTTATTTTGACATTTTTAACAAATTGTTTTCATTTCACAGCAAATTGCAGCAAAGAGGGTCACAAAGTTACAGGTGAGCATTCTGTATGTAGATCACTGTAACAAGTTCAGAAATGCAGGATTTAAGTGTGAACCTGGCGTGAACATAGCCTAATTTAGCTTCAAGTTGAATTTTAGCTAAGGACGACTCATCACACCTAACGTGTTTAAGTCCAACTGGAGGTGCAGCATCATTTAATAACCTTACATTTGATTATTAATGATAATAAGGGTCATTATTGGAACAATATAACAGTCTGCTTTTGTTTGATCAGTTATTTGGGTATTTAGATATGTTTATATAAAGAATCACAATGGAATCAGTTTAGACACGTGATTAATAAATACAAATGTTATTTTGTTTTGTAAATTACTTGTAATATGTTGTTTTATAACTTGTATCCCCAGCATTACCTCTCCAGCTGTGTGAGGCTGTTAACCTCAAATGTACCGCCACTCGCAGAGGAAACCTGATGATTTACAGCATAGACCACCAGGGTTTCCCTCCAGATGTCAACCTGTCTAGCTGTGATTCCTCATGGAGCAATGACGGTGTAAGATGAGCATCACCACAACAACTTTGCCTTCTGTTTTCTTTTATTTTAAAATCTATTTTACCAGCACACTTATTATTTTAGGTTTTAGCTCATAAAATATACCCTTTTGTTTCAGTTTCATTTATTTTAAAAGTCTTTAAGTCTTCCAGGAATGTCATACCTTTAATTTTCTTATAGCTGATTATGCCAAACAATTTTTTCTGTTTATTTTAGACCGTTCTTGCCAATCATCAGGACAAACTCCCATCGGTGAAGACAAAAAGCCTCAAAAATCTAGAGACTACGGAATGCTTCACGAACGTTGTTCACAAATCCCATTGTGCATCAAAGGTGATAATCTTTACATTTGTTTGAAAAAATAAGCACATTACATGTCACAACCTAGATGCATTATTTACTTGATGATGTAACAATCAAAAAATATAATTTCAACACTTATTTTCCTTCAAACACTAGTCATGTTAGCATATGGGACTTTAGGTGCAATTCTCAGAGAACATTGTATAATGGATATTCCATTATTATTATTATTATTATTATTATTATTTCTACCCTAATCTCCTGATCACAGTCACATCTGTTATGTGTTTTCCACAGACAACCGCATGTCGGACTAATTTCCGGGCGAACTGCACCTGTGAGTATTTTTGTCTGTCTTGATTTCCTTTGAGTTATTTTGACATTTTTAACAAATTGTTTTTGTTTCACAGCAAGTTGCAGAGAAGAGGGTCACAAAGTTACGGGTGAGCATTCTGTATGTAGATCACTGTAACAAGCTCAAAAAGACAGGATTTAATTTTAATAATATTCTGATGGACATTCAGTTCCTCTGGTTCTCGGTATCGTAGCCGTAGTAGGACTGTGTATGGCTGTGGGTGGATACTTCTTCTACAAATCCAGAAAGGAAAATCACAGGTACTGTTTCATTTTTATCCTTTTAACCTAACAGGGAGCCCAAGTCTCCTTTCCGGTCGGCCCATGGGTCCACGGAAGAACGAAAAAATGAAAGCAAGTCAACGGGGCTGAAAATGCTATTTTTTAACCCGCTTTGCCTTACGCCCTGGATCACACATGTTGTACTGCAATTTAGATGAAAAGTAACGACGGGTGTTTCAGCCACGCCAGTCACGTACTTTGAGATTTATCAGCTTGTAAAAGTTCGTAATTAGCATGATTACAAACTAGAAATCAGCGTGTTCCATTTGTGACGTCACCACATAATCTCCTCTCCCCTAGCGTAGCTGCTACTTACCACATGACCAAATTTATGGTGGTTCTTTCCTCCTGTGGGAAGTTTGCTGAACTTACGGCCATTTTCCCTCAGTTTTCTCCGTTTCTGGTTCGATGACATCACTTTAATGAAGCACATTAGTAGTCCTGGACTTATTTTCACACAAAACCTAAAATATTGTTCTCCCCGTTCGAAAATAAGCTCGTTCTTAACAACATGTGTCATTAAAATTCACGGACGTCAAATGTGAAATCCATGGAACAAAACAAGCGGAATTAGAAAATAGCCGTTTTGCCCCGTTGACTTGCATTCATTTTTTTGTTCTTCTGGGGACCCGTGGTGCTGAAGTGACTTAGTCTCGTTATGAACAGCATCTCTTCTCATCATTGGTCATGACTGAAACATTTTGTCTGTTTTCAGCTAACTTTACTTGCCCCTGCACCCAGTGGGGTGGGGGTGGGGGGGGGGGGGGGGTGTCTGTACAAGAATGTGAAGGTATCCAACCCTGACTCACCTTTGTAGGTGATGCTCTGTGTGTTGGGGGTTTTGGACGACTGCAGAGCTTTCACCATCACCAATCATTCTAAAGTGCTGTTACTCTTCACCTGCTGCTGCTTTCTATTTAGATTCATTAGTCACAAGCGTTTGGAGCTCATCTATACTGTAACGTGCTTATTTAAACTTTTTATACACTTTGTGTCCTCTGCATTATCATCAGCATTAATAACACTTAGCTTTAAAAAGTATTGTTTAAAGGTCCCAGTTTTCCAGATGCCATCACTTTTATAATAGACAATCATGTATTGGGACTTCTTAGCCGCTTTTATCCTAAAATAACATTTATATTGGTAAAACAAAAGTGCCTGTGGCAGTTTTTAGCAACAGATGGACACATGATATTCACAACTCAGGACAAAAATGCACGCCGGACACCCACTCATGCTCCCCATACACACCCTATTCATTCTGGTCCCAGTACTGCTGCACATGGGGTACAACCATTACCGGTTCCCAGAGTTCGGCCCTTTCTGCTTGGGTGCTGATGAGCAGGCTCCCCCGCCCAATGCCGAGCAAAGTGACCCACCACCCAGACCCCAGCCAGATGGCCAGATCCCCTAGCCTCCAGCCCCGGGAAGCCAAGTGACAACAGAGGTGTGCTAAGACCCCTAGTTTCACTCCGCCTGCTCCAATATGGTGTTAGTGAGTGTTGATGAGGCGTATTCCATGGCTGTGGTGAGCGGGCAGTGCAGGCATCGTCTGGCCTATGCCAGCTGATGCCACCACACCACCCCACTTGCACCCACAGCCCTCAGTGTCTAAGTGCAGTTTAAAATTGGAAGTGGGCACCGGCACTTGGGATGAGGCTGAGAAATCCCCCTGCCAAATGCAGTTGGATGTGCTCACTCCCAAGGCCCTAAGTGTGTGTTTGCGTGGAATGTCGTTGGTGGAAGTGTTTAAGGTACAAATAAAATTGGGGGGCAGTTTGCCACAGGAATGTGGAAATGGGGTCCATACCCAGACCCCCTGACTTGTCCACCCCCCAAGGTCCTATGTGCATGAAACCGGTACTAATTCCCGGTACCTACGAATCGATACCGGTACTTAACGGTACCAATTTTTGATACTTTTGAGTGTTTAATATTTTAATTCTCTTTTATAATTAGATATAATTTTTTCTCAATTTATAACCATATTTGATAAATATCACGATAAATAACATACAACTGTTTGTATTTTAACATCGTCCTTGTAGTTTTAAAAGCTGATAATTAAACTGAAGCAAACATCTTTACTGTGAACTAAATTTACTGTGTATCTTCATTCCTTTTACCGTCCTTTTTCAATTGATTTTTCCTACTGGGAAGTTAGAATTTCCGAGGAGAAAGCGAACGCACCATTAGATGATAACAATGGTGGCATAGAAAGCTAACATATCAAGCTACGTTATCTTAAACAGTTTAACTGCTGGAGCAGATTTAAACGATTATGCCTCACACTTAGATCGTTGTCACTGGTTTCATCTTCACCCAATCACCCGTCGCATTTAGTAAAGTGAAGCCAAACTTTAGTGCGCGTTCATGTTCTTCTAGTCGGAATTCCGGAGTTCCGAGGAGAAAGCGAACGCACCATTAGTGAAACAGAAGCTAACAAATCAAGCTAACGTTATCTTACATTTTATTTACCTACCGGAGCAGATTAAGATGAGGATGTCTCACTTAGATCATTGTCGCTGCATCACCCAGTTACCCATCACATTTAGTGAAGTGGACCCAAGCTTAAGCGTGCGTTCTTTCTACCATGCTGCTCTGTTTACAAGTCGCTCGCAGCGACTGATGACATAACGCTCTTGCGCATGCGCAGCTGTCTAGGCAAGTTCTCGTTGAGAAGGACGGGTACCGAAACGAGGCACCGTTTCAAATGAAGTGAATCAGTGCTCGGTCGTTGCTGTGGAATTCGGTCGGTACCTTTAAAAGTACCGAATTCGGTACCCATGACTGTAGAGGAGAAAAATGTTTGGGGATGGGGAGGAATGGCTGGTTGGACTTAAGCCCTCCAGGGAGCCAGCTCCCCCACTGGCCCCAATAGGCACCTCTGTTGCCAAAATGCCACCCAGGGCATGGAGACCCCAGCCCATCTTGCCAGGGCCCAAAGCAGCAGTATTACAGAGCCTCACGGAGTCCGAGGGCACCAACCCAGCCCCACGCCAGCAGAATATCTACTCCCATCCCTGCATTTGCACAACTTCCAGAATATAAAAGACATAGGACATCCAGGTAAGGCTGGGTCCTCCCCCTCCTGGACATCCCCCCCTGTGATGGAACAGCAGAGGAGCCAAGGTCTACCCGAGGCCCCTGAGCCTGGACCAGGCACTGCCACATGTTCCTGCCTTCTTCCCGGCAGCATACATGTCAGGACCAGACCCCCAAGACCCCGCCCAGATCCCCACATGGGGCCGGCCGCCCCCAGACCCCCACCTAGACCTGCTCAGGGGCAATGCAGCTGCCAGGCGTCGACCCATGGTCACCGCCAAGACCCCCAAGGGGCCCCACTCACAACCGCCAGTAGTCCACCCCTTGAAGCAACCCAAGCACCTCCACACTGTAATAAAAGCAACTTGTGTTTTTTGAGATGAAAAGGTATTTTAAGTTGTTTAAACTTAAAATCTATGTTTCACGAATTAAGTAAGTGCAATAAATTAAGTCAGCCTGACAAACCAAATTAGTTGTGTGCTTCAACAATATTAAGTGAGTTGTATGAACTTACATATTTAAGTTGGACTTCATAATATCGTGCCCAAGTTCTGCTAACGTCCATGCTTTTAATGTGAAATGCGGGAAAGTCAACTTTTGGAGTTGGAGAAGTCAGTCTAATTCTGCGTGTGGTCGGAGGCAAAGGAGGCTGCATAGGTAAGTTTTCCCCTTTTTCCTGGGTTCAAATTATGTTAAAAATAAATTATAAATGTTTTGTGCTATAAAAAAGGTAGCCTACACGCTTAAACAACTTTTACAGGTGATTTTTTTAAGGTAAGGCTGTCGACGGTTGAGATTTATGCTATAGGCTATATTCTGCAACTAGCCTGTACTTAAAAAACATGGACCTCTGTAACTAACTGTTTCATTTCGTACTTGTTTATAGTTTGAAATGATATCTCCTTTACCACTAATAATATTTCAATTTCTTTTGATAAACAAGCTAAATATTGAGAGAATAATTGCCAACTCACATTGCTAATGGCTAATGTAGCAACAGCAGCTAGCAATTAGTGTTGAATGTGTGTTGACTTAAAAACTACAAAATTATGCTTTAATACACTTTACACGCATAGACGGTGGAGCAGATTTAGCACTGGGACGGAGCAGTGGGACTGCGTGGCAGACGACACGGAGGAGCAAACACCGATAGACGGCGGAGGAAATACACAGAGCAGCAGGACGTGGAAGCAGGACGTGGAGGAGCTTGTCCAAACACTGGCAAACAGTGCACCAACGCAGAGCTGTGGGTCCAAACACTTTAACTCTGGACCAGGCTGCTTAAAGGTGAGTTTCTGTTCTGAATTTTTTTTTCTTTTGTTCTTTTTTTTCATTTTGTCATATAACTTCATCAGGTGTCTGCAAGAAATATATGATATGGCCCACCTCTAGATGAAATAAAAAAAATTTTACATTAATTATAAGTATATAATTTAAAAGTGCCTGTGGGACATTTGATACACCTCTAACTCTCAACTGTGTGTGTGTGTGTGTGTGTGTGTGTGTGTGTGTGTGTGTGTGTGTGTGTGTGTGTGTGTGTGTGTGTGTGTGTGTGTGTGTGTGTGTGTGTGTGTGTGTGTGTGTGTGTGTGTGTGTGTGTGTGTGTGTCAGCAGACAGCTGTACCAGTGTTTCTAAAGCTCAGGCTGGTAGAGAATAGACACTAAAGTTAGTTTGACAAGAATCAATACATTTTTATGAATTTAATCTACTGATTTTTGTATATAATTTCTCAAGACAGCTTGAAGTGAGTTAACTTGTAAATAATTTACAGGAGGAAAAATATAGAGATGTATATCGTATATCGGAATTCAGCTAAAAGATATTGAGATATCAGTTTTGGTCCATATTGCCCAGCCCTACAATAAAGCATTAACATTGTTTTCCATCTCTTCTTAAAAGGATACTGACCCAGAGGAGGAGCAGACAAGAGGTCTCTCCGTGGGTATCCTCACTCTGCTGGAGGATGACTGTACTTCACCTGCTGTAAATGTGATGAACCTTGCTGTGGTTGTTGAAGAAACAATCATCCTTCAGGATCTCCCAGATCTGCCAACGGCTTTTGGCTTTGTCTTTGGGTTGATCTATGTCTTAAACCTTCAATACCCAAAAGATCTCAGGTACACCTTTGAAACAGTTCAGAAAATCTTTATGGGACTTGGGACAGATCTCTCGGCAAGGGTAAGATCCCTCAAAAACAGGCTTTTTCTATGAATCCTATATGGTGGCTGTTGGATGTACCTTACCTTTTTTTTCTTTAATGTCTTGCAGTTTTTCAGTTTAGGGCTTACGTAAATGTAGAGTTCAAGTCATTGTTTCCACTGTTGCCACTTTAATAAAAAAGACAGTTTTATACAGAAAGGAAATTATATAAATTTTTATTTGTAATGCTATGCTAGATATTTTTATGTTTTACTGGAGTTTCTCTTAAAATGTGTGGTACAAGGTCAGCATTTTGTTTGTTCCTGTTCAGCCAGTTATTCTGGAGTTGGGCTACTCAACCAGATAGACGCCAGGGTCTTGTAATTGTACATTAAAGTGCATAAGTTTAAAATAATTTAGTCTTACAGCTGGTCTCACAGCGAGATATGTTGGGCTTCCTACAGTTGTAGTTCAGCTTTTTCAGCTGTTCTGTATCAAACAGATCTTAATGTTTTAATACCAATATTGTCTGT